GAAATGTGCGCAATGAGGATGCGTCGTATATTATGTCGATGTTGTATTCTCACTCGTGCAGTTTTCGTTTTTACGTTTGTGTAATTTTCTCACTATATCGTGTAAATATTTTGTTGATTGTGTAGTTTTTCTGTAGTTTGTGTAAATTTCAATAACTTTGTGTATACTTTTCTCACTTTGTGCAAGTTTTTACTGACTCGTGTAATTTTTGTTTAAGGTCGTGCAGAAAATAATTTTGAACCAATCGGCGTGCCATACCTATACATAGAATATATATTTGTTCTTTGTGAATATTTCTATATTCGTTAATTAATGAAATGACAAAGCTCTTACATTTGTATTGAACGGGATTCTAAGAAAAGATGTGAAAGATCTAAAATTAGAATATCCTAAGAAATGGTGTGAGACCTTGTATAGACAGATCCTAGAGTCTTTTCGACAGGGGGACTTGATTGGTTGTATGGTGTTTTACGTCAGATTCTGGAGTCTTTTGGACAGGGGGACTTGATTGGTTGTATGGTGTTTTACGTCAGATTCTGGAGTCTTTTGGACAGGGGGACTTGATTGGTTGTATGGTGTTTTACGTCCAGTTCCAGAATTTTTCACTCATGTAGTATGGCAAGTCCTTTTGCTATTTATTCGGAAAATAAATTAAATTTATCTTAAAATTACAGAGATATCTCTAATTTTAGAGAGGTATCTCTTAAAAAATAGAGATATCTCCAAACTTAAAGAGATATTCTCATATTTAAGAGATATCTCTATGAAAAAGAGATATCCCTTAAACTTAGAGAGATATCTCTTTCATTTAGTGAGACATCTCTTTTTGAAAGACATATATCTCTTCCACTTAAACAGATATCTCTTTCCCCTTGAGAGGTATCTCTTTCGTTTAAAGAGATATCTCTGAACGTTTAAGAGATATTTCTTTTACTTAGGGAGACATCTTACAAAGTTAAAGAGATATCTCTTTTAATTTAGCTTAAGAGATATCTCTCAAAGCGAAAGAGATATCTTTCAAAAGTGTTCAAAAGAGATATCTCTCAAGCATAAAGAGATATCTTTTTATTGCAAAGAGATATCTCTTTTCATTATTTTTATTTAAATTGCGTGTGTAATGACTTTTCCCTTCACCGGAAGTAAGTTTTTTATTCACGGAAGTACATTATTTTTTATTCACGGAAGTACATTAAAGTATTTTGAAAATTCGACATATTTATGATATTCTAAATTATAGCTTTACTTAACATGACAAGTAATTCAGTGTTGTCTAGATTTCAAATTAGTAGTAATAGTTGATTATTTCATAAGCTGTGAAAATTCGGTCCATTGCATTTGAGATTTTATGCTTACTTTCTTTTTCCTGAATATTAAATTTTTAGCATGTTTATCAACGAAGTTGCCATTATTATTTGTTGTTTCAAACAAGGGATTTATTATTAATAGCATTTTTGTCTACATAGTGCATATATTATTCTGGGTATGACATGCTCAATCTTTTTTCTCATAACAGCGAAATTATTCGATCCAGAGACTTTACTTCCTGTTTCGCTTTCGTTTGAAAGGGGAGAACTATTTCATTTTGAAGATCACTGGAAAAGAGATATCTCTTTCATTAAAAGAGATATCTTTTTAGCTTAGAAAGATACCTCTTTTTGAAAATCTGAAGAGATATCTCTCTAACTAAGAAAGATATCTCTTTTAACCTTGTTGAAGAGATATCTCTCTAACTTTAAGAGATATCTCTCTCGCTTATAAAGAGATATCTCTCCCACTTAATGAGACATCTCTCTAGGTTATAAAGATTATATTGAGGGCCCATTCATTTTCTAAATAGCCCATCAAAAATGTTGATAGTTGCGCGTAGTTCCATTGACCATTTTGGCCTTCCCAATCACTGAATTTAGTAAAAGACATATCTCTCTTACAAAAATCTCTCTAAAGTATAAAGATATCTCTTTAAGCTAAATATCTCTCTATGCTAAAAAATATCTCTCTTATTGAAAGATTTTTTTTATTTCACGAATAAATAGTAAAAGGGCTTGCCATACTTGTAGAGACATTATTATAAACCGACGAAGGGCTTCAAATTTAGACCTCACTCGGCACCCATGGCCTTTGAGCAGTGAGGGTTCTTTATCGTGCCAACTTCTTCTTCTTCTTCTTCTTCCTTTAAACCACAAACCACCTTCTGGTGTATTGTCGTGATTGGTACTATGTACACTTGCCCATGGGGAAACAACGATCTATTTACAAATTCATAAAAACCATTCTGGTGATATTTACAATTAAAACTGTCGGAGCTAGGTCATTCTGATTGCCCCAATGCTGTCCTTAAAACTCTCCAGGCTAGAGGCGCTGACAGCAGTAGATGGTAGGTTGTTCCATAGTGTTATTGCTGATGGAAAGAAGGACTGCTGATGACCCTGAATTCTGGAGTAAGGGAGCAAGAACCTGATGTTATGGCCCCGTGTTGTTAAGTTAGCTCCCCTTGGTACAAGGTAGTTTTGCGTTGGTATTGCAATAAGATGGCGAACGATGCGATAAAGCATGATGACCTTTGCCTTATGTCTGCGCTCCTGTAGTGTTGGCCATTAGAGGACACGCCTAGAGGTGTACCATGACACGGGGGATAAGTTTTTAAAAGGTCTCATCCGAAGGACCCTCAACCTTCATTTCAACGCACCGAGCACTTGGCGAAGGATCATTGCTATTTTATCGACTTTGGTCGATTGATTGATTCGAACACATGGCCTCCCTATCACGAAGCGAGCGCTCTACCAACTGAGCTACCGTGGGGTCTAGGGATAATTAATTACAGCAGAATTTCAAAAAATGCTATTATATTTGTAGTTAATAATTATTGTTCTACTTCTATAAATTTTTGCACATTTTTTTGCAAGCTAATTAAACTTCTATTTTATTTTTAGCCGAAGAGGTCTGGAAGAGATACGGTTATCAGAACACGTGAATTTCGTTTTTTCTTTACTTTATATTAATTATCTCGGTTATGTAAACCATCGCTTTGATTCTGCATCTCTGATGAGGCCTTATTTCAGACCGCTTCCCTCATATCTCCCATAATTTGTTTACACCTCTAACAAAATTTACTCTACGCTTTGTAAAAAGCCATAAAAACTTTACCAAGACAATTAATAGCTTAATACCTTCCAAATTGCCCCCATGATGAAGAGCTGCAAATGACAGATGATGTATAAGATAATTAAAGGATTTAAAAAATCTGTGTTATATCTCCCAGATTATATTGATCGAAGATAAAACGTATATTCGCCTGCTCTCTCACAAATGAGATTTTTGAAAAATGTTTTCGATGAATCCCAATGACAAACTGATTGATTTCTTCTTGACTTTTTAAAATTCTTTAAGTTTCCATATATGATTCTTTAGATTTATAATTTATCATTTTAAACCAAAGCTTTTACTGATTATTTTTTCAAACAAACAATAAAATCGATGTCCTAATCTCTCTACTGTTTTAACCAAGTAAATAAAAAGAAGCTATCAAAATGACCTAGAGGAAGAGAAAAATTGTGTTTACACTCAGTAAAGACAGGGAGTAAAAAGTCTTGGATGTTAAGAACTTCATGATATGAGGAAAACACTTGCTGCAGGCTTCGATTCAACATTCAAATACATTTACGGACGATGTTTAATCAATTAACAATATTTTTTTTTCCCATTAATATGTGTTGACTCGATCTACTCCACTAAAAGCGGAATAAAAAATACCACAGTCCTCCACATCTGTTAGATGTTTCACTGACTATAGACGATTAAGGCAACCTACCAACTAAATTGTATGACAAACGAGATCACTTCAGCTTTTCTTATTTATGTAGAAATAGTCTCTTGTCACCTGCTTATGGTGTTTTAAAATGTTTCCAAAATTAGCGAATCAAGAGCTTACTCTTAGTACGATCAATATTTTAAGTGAGGCAGGCTACTCACTGATAAGTTGATCTTACAGGGATTTCGAGAAACTCGTTTAAAGTCGAGATTTCTTAAATTGTATGGTCGCTATAATGACCTTGTTAGCATTTAAACCTATCAATGAGTCGTATTTTAGGTGACTTCATACCAATTGTTTGGCCTTTTTTATTTCATTGTCTATAGAAAGTTTCAGTTGCTTGATTAATACATAGAGTTCACGGCGGATTTAAGCGGTCAACAGGGCATGTTTACTCCTCCTTGGCACCTGATCCCACCTCTGGACTTCCCAGTGGTCAATGTTTATGTCATCTTCACATATTTGCACTATTTATAGATTTTGATCACTGTTCGTTATCTTAATTATGTAAGCTTTATTGTGCAAAATAGTTTTGCTTTTAATAATGTTTATTTGTGAAAAAAAGGTACTGGATATTTAAGGAATAACTGTTCAATCGCGCCTATTGATGAACCAGAACGTTCATGTAGAAATCAAGTACATTAGCTATTTGTAATTTTATCTCGGACAAAGACATTGGAAATGAAAATATAAATAATTATTGTGTAGCTTTTTTGGACTAATAAAAAAATATCATTTTGGGAGAGATTTAAAAAGATATTTTACAAAAGGGAAAAAAATTCCTGTGCCAGTGATATATATATATACTAAAGGTATTTTTTCCAGATATGGGTCAAAATATTTTATTTTCAGACGTCATTAACTTGTAGCTACAAATCTCAATGTACCGGTCATTGAGAATGATTCGCCATAATTATCATAAGAAAGTCTCCTTTTGTACATGGCTTTAAAATTCTAAAGAAAGTTGTAGTGTTAACAAGTTAAAGATTTGAGAGGGGAAGAACGAAGACTCATGATCAGAAATCGGCCTTAGTAATTTCTTGTAAGTCTTTTCAAGTTAACGCAGCTACATGTTCTTTATATTTAAAATGTCATAATACTGCAATATTAAATGTGGGTCTGTTAAAAATATTACTTAATCTATATTTATTGGATACATGCAAAGGATAAAAACCTACATGTACACTTTTACCTTAATTTTAGATCTCCACTGTAGAAAATCCCGGAAGTGGTCTCTATTTCCGGGTGGTGTCCTTTTCCACAATAAGAATCCCACCACTACATAGGCTACTGTAATTATCACTAAAGGTATTATATAGGTACTCAATAAAACCGTGATGGTATAAATCTTTCTGGATCTTTTGGAGGGCCATATTTCGTCACACACAAGGTGTCCGCTACCCTCATCAACATGTGCCCTCCCTACAAAGAACTGGACACAAGACAAAGCTGTGGCAGCTGTCCATATCACAAAAATTATGTATTTCGAACGCTCCTGTGTAAAACGATGTTTTAGTGGATGTGTGACCACAAGAAAACGGTCTACAGCTATTGCCATATTTGTAAAGACACTTGCAGCGACTGAAATGATTTGTATTGAAAGAACAATGGGGCAAACGGGCTTTGAAAAAATCCACATATTGTATATTGCATCTGCAAAGGTGAATGGCATGCAAAATAATCCCATTAATAAATCTGCAATGGCCAAATTTATTAAAAAGTGGCGCAAATCCGTCCGTGATCTTTTTCCTCTTATGAACACCACGACTACCAAAAGGTTTCCAACAATGGCCAAAATTGTGGTAAAGGCATATAGAATTGTAAGACCTATCAATGCATCTGAAGACAAGTTAAAATGATCCACATCATACTTATTCGAAATATTATCAAGACTATAATTCCAATTTTCGTAAAAATGATTGTGATTTCCAGCCATAATGAAACTCCAGGAATATTTAAACAGCTCAGTTTTTTCTCAACATGTTGCAACACTTCAAACTTTGTTAAATACCATAAAAGCAATCATTGAGGTGATTGCCTTCAATGGGTTTGCTTTAAGAGGACTGTTAAACTAGTCAATTACTCCGAGATTTCCATCAATAGAAATGAACCTCTGTATCGTCGCCATCACCAGTATCATCATAAAGCGGCCGTTTTCTGGGAAACAACGGTGACAGTAACTTTCCTGATTTCCGCACTCTCTGCAGATGAAAAACCTTCCACAGTTATTTTTTTCCTCCTCATCAAATAGCGCGGAATCGTCGATATATAAACAAAGCCTCTAATAATTTTTTTTAATCCTGCATGGTTAATGCAAGTTGTATGTGGTTTGTTTTAACCAGAAATTATAGAATACTACATATTTTATTAGAATTTTTGTTTAACGAATCGCAGACTTAAATACATGACTTGATGGGTGGCGACAGAGAGTGTGTATAATTTGATGGTGACCCAGTGAGTACAACTTTTCAGCTGCCGACTGAGGGTTAATTAAAATATTATCCCAGGAGAACCGTACGTTATGACAGGATACACTGATAAGATTGAACGGATCCTCTTTGATTTACTACAGCATCTTTGTACTTCGTATCGTATCTGACCGTCAGGAGAGTTCACTGAGCAAAAACAAAATGTTTTATATCCTCCGGTTCTGATGATAGGCTATCAATACCATTATATACATAATCAACGTAAAATGAGCGATTCTTTGGCGACATGAGACAGGCAAATGATATGTGCTCGTTTATATTTAATTACAGTTGTAGGAGAAAAAATAACATCACCGTGTGCTGGAATCTAGACATTTTTCTTCTATATGAGATTAATATTCAAATATGTACCCAGAACTTGTAGTTTCAATTCATTTTTTAAAAATGTTACATTCGATTTATGCATTAGACAAAGAATTGCATTCCTTTAAATAGATGCATCATACGTTTAAATTTGATCTAGGGGAAAGTCGATTTTATAGTATTATGAATGCTTAACTTACAGAGAAGTTAAACGTAAAATGTAGGTCGGAATCAGGATCCTAAGCATTTCAGACTAGCAAAATGAGTGAATTAAAAGCAAAGTTCATTGAAACAATAATAAAATGGGGTAGCTGAGCAAACATGGACCTATAAAGCATCAGGGGTGGGATCAGGTGTAATGGAAGAATAAGCATTTTCTGTCGACCGGTCATACCCACTGTGTGCTCGTTACCATGAAAGGGCAAACGGAGAAAAACCCATAGTCAATTCAGTGAAAACAAAGACCTAACAATAAAAAGGTATGAAAAATTCAGTCTACATACAACTTAATGTATTTGCTCAAGTTTAATGTATCGACCAAAAATTGTTGCCTTCAAATGATGCTGTTGATATATCCTTGTTTCATTAACGTATTTGTCCATAGCTTTCATTGTTTAAGAGATTGTACGTGCATTGAACATGCTCTTTATATATATATGTTTATATATCTTCTCATATATATATGTCAATATATAAATATCTCTTCCTATCAAAAGTTATAAGGAAGTGAAACAATTATGACCCCGTACGTCAAAATAGCAAAGATTAAACTTTTCTTAAATGCAAATTAAATATATTGGTACCCAAAGTAGGGCCATCTCACAAGAAATACGATTGTGAAATATGAAAGCCCTAGCACCACACGTTCAAAAGTTATAGTCAAGGATAAGTTTTTGAAAGGTAGGTCAGACTCAAAGACCAAAGGGTCAAAGTTGTTAGTTTCTTAAGAAAGGTCTTGTTACAAGTATTACATAGATGAAGTATGAAAACTCTTGCCCGAAATGTTCCAAATTTATGGCCAAGGTTTATGTTTTACAAAAGTAGGTCAAACTCCTAGGCCAAAGGGTCAAAGTTCTTGATATTCAATGAAAGGTCATGTCATAAGTATTAAATATGTTAAGTATGAAAGCCCTTGCCCGAACCGTTCCAAAGTTATGGCAAAGGTTAAAGTAATTAAAAAGTAGGTCAAAATCCAAGGTCAAAGTGTCAAGGTTGTTGGTATCCAATGAAAAGTCTCATAACAAGGATTACATATGTGAAGTATGAAAATCCTTGCCCGTTATGGCCAAGATTAAATTTTTTTCATAAGTACGGAAATCTCCAAGGTCAAGGTCAAAAGGTCAAAGTAATTAGTATCTTATGAAAGGTCTTGCCACAAATTTGTGAAATATGAAACTCCTAGTGTCTACCGTTCAAAAGTTATGGCCAAAGTAAATGTTCGGAATTTTTATGTTAAAATGGGTCAAATTCCAAGGTCAGAAGGTCAAATTTGGTGGTACCCAAAGAAAGGTATTGTCACAAAGAATACACATGTGAAATATGAAAGTCGTAGCTCTACTAAATCAAATGTTATGACAAGGTTAAAGTTTGTGATGGACGGAGAGACAGACTGACAGACAAATGAGATTCAATGTCCCCTCGCTTTGGGGGACAACAAGCACGATAACATTTCATTTATAAGATGTGTTTGTGAAACATTATGCGCCCGGCCGCAACAAAGTTACAAAAATCTATTTTTAGCATATAGGTCACAGTCAAGGTCACAATGTCATTGATATTAATGTTATTTGAAGTACTTTAGTAGTGGAGTATGCATACCAGATATGAAATCAATATCTCCTATGGTTCAAAATTTATGGCAAAAGTTCGAAAATAGCTATTTTTAGCATTAAGGTTACAGTCAAGGTCACAAGGTCAATGACTTTGGTGTCATTTGTATGAGCTTTATTAGTGAAGTATGCATACCAAATATGAAGACCCTATCTCCTATGCTTCAAAAGTTATTTTTAGCATGTAGGTCACAGTCAAGGTCACAAGGTCATTGACCTTGGTGTCTTTTGAAAGAACTTTATTAGTGGAGTATGCATATCAAATATGAAGTCTCTATATCTCAAGGTTCAAAAGTTATGGCGAAGGTTAAAGTTTTCAGCAGACAGACAAACAGACAGGACAAAAACAATATACGCCTCGGATCTATCGATCCGGGCGCATAAAAATAGAACAGTGTTCATAAAGGATATCAAGAAGATATGTGTCGCAAAATCGGGGGACAACAAGCACGATTACATTCCATTTATAATAGAACAGTGTACATTAAGGATATCAAGAAGGCATGTTTCGCCTTCTTTACACAAATGTGCAATTCCAAATCAGGTTTAAATTTCTAACAAATATCTCATAAAGTAAAAAATACAGTATTTTTGAGAAATAAAAGAATTCCAAAAGGATCAAAAATCGTGATACTCCATAGTAACATATGAATGTCACGAATTCACTGAGTAGTGACATTGTGCTTTTAAATTAAGTAGTAACCATGCACGTCTTTATTGTATTGATTGCCGAACAACTACATTAGTTGTCAACTTGGTCACGATGCTGTAAGAAAGTGTTCACTCTCTCGGTATAATAAAATTTTCCCGAACAACTTGCACCTGCTCTAAATACATCAAACAACTTTAAAACAGTTTATTCACAATAATCTGGACATTTTATGTCATATCGTGCTTTTTATATTTTACGATTAATTTGGGCATACTCAATCTGTTATTATTAAATAAATTCACTAGAAGTCTATACGTAATTGCCGTTTACCTTTCTTAGCATACATACATATGCAGTGTATAAGATTTAAATAAACCTGCAGAGAGAGAGAGAGAGAGAGAGAGAGAGAGAGAGAGAGAGAGAGAGTACTTAGTTTCATCAAAGCTCGCGCAGTTCTTTTCAATGTTATTGGCTTATTACCGTGTAATTACTTCTTTTCGACATGTAAACGATTAACTGAGACGACTTTGCATCAGCTGAGAAAAAGCATTTGATCCACAACAGTTACGTTTGTTCTTGCAAAAATTATTTGTATCAATTATAGCTTATCAAAAGTTTTGACCAAGCGAGATTGCTTTAACTCTTGTAGCATCTGCGTACTTGTCAGTAGGTTGCCTCGATTTAAAAATTGCTCGTACACAGAACATGCTTATACCTATACCTACTGTGATACATAAAAATTATAGCAAGTTATTACACACTTAGTAATAAATACAGGTTTTTTGCATATGCGATATGGCTGACGTCACAATAGCCTTATCAGCCCTGCAGGGCTGATATGGATTTGCTGGGCTGATAACCTATATCAGCCCCGCAAATCCATATCAGCCCTGCAGGGCTGATACGGCTATTGTGACGTCAATATCACACCCTTAGTAAATTAAACCACAAAAACAGTACTTGTGATCATACACAATTTTGGTGGGTTCATATTCTCTTAATTTTAACTTTTTAAAAATAAGGTTAATCTTAATGTACAAATACTTGTTAGATCATTTTCAAATTACGGATCGAGTACCATGTACATATATGTAAGAAGTTCATGCATGATTATTGACTTATTTTCTTCTCAACTTATGTATGCTGTATTTTATTACTAAGTATGTAATAAACATATTAATACTTCGGCCCTCTGGCTGATATTGGTGTCTCGGGCTGATACAGGATGTGATATGGAAAAGGGTATGTATTATTCTTTATTTGTAATGAAATCATATTATGACATAATATATATATATATATATATATATATATATATATATATATATATATATATATATATATATATATATATATATATATATATATATATATATATATATATATATATATATATATATATATTTATTATACAAAAGTTAGAGTTATGACATTTATCATAAAACTTCCATAGACAAGTAGCTTTCCGCTACTTTCAGTACTTTGATTTTTTGTAGTTTTGGTGAAAACATCGTGCTAATGGCCGCCTTGGTTATAAAGTATATCATTTTGCAATTAAATGAAGTTAGCTTTGTTAAACATTTCTAGAATTTACATCCTTTCTGCACACCTTCAATTCCTTGTGGAAATCTATTCGCTTTGTTTCACACAATTAAAACTGAAAT